ATATATATATATATATATATATATAACCATTAACCATTACTGTACCAGCAATCCTCGCCCTCCCTCATCAGTTTTCATTCTTGAATAGGGTGATAAACTAATATTTTTTATGGGGCTGTAAGTTTGATTGAAAGATACAAAAACAAAAACAATTTTTCCAATTAACACAGTACACTGAAGTAGATTTTATTTTAACATGGTTGACAGTAATTACATAAAGTATTTACAGTAATGATATAAATAGTATATTCACAGTTCTATACCATTTGATGTACAGTATTAAACTTTTTCTATAACAGTTTCTATATTCTGTTATCCCCAATTTACTTTTAATTTTGTCAAATTTAGGGTTCCCTGATTTTTCTTTTTATTTATTTAATACCCAGTTAAAAGCAATACAAGAGAAAACATGGAAACGAGATGCACATTACCTGAGGACTGCCACTATGAAGTGGCTCCCCTATACTAAACATCTTTACATTAGAGAATAGATAAAAAAAACTAATTTAAATAAAAGATTTTATCAGATCACCAATAAAATACTGTAATTAAAATATAATGCCAGTTAAAACAATTACAGTGAACGAAGTCATGCCTCTCAAAGGCATTTCATTGTTTTCAAGGCATGATCGGATTATTGTAAGACAAGAAAAAATAATGGAATCATGAAAAAGTAGTTTTCGTAATATTGCAAAACCCCACAATTTTTGCGGACCCCCATATTTTTCGCGGGCCCCCTTTGACTTGGCGGACCCCCATTTATTTTTCGTGGACCCATAAGGGGTCCGCATACCCCTTAGGGTCTGTAAATGCTGTACTGTACATTGAAGAAACTACAGTATAATAAATAACAGTTCTTTGAGTCTAACAGTTTTGAATCCTATTTTCCCATGCATATTTTTACAAATATTTATCTACCGTATGTATAGTACTGCTCTTCAAAAATCTATTCATATATTTGGTAGGTTAAATGACCATTATTATAATGTTGCAGTAGACTATATACAGTATTTAAACACGACTATACTTATTTTTGAAGTACTTTCATCTGCTATACAATAAGAGGTGGGGCTTTGCCAATAGGTCCATTACTATATTATGATATACTGTAATTGTTTTCGTTTATTGTACCTAAATTCATTGAGGAAATTATGATAAATAACAATTTGAATCCCATTTCTCCAATGAACATTTTCAAAATTCTTTATGTGTATTGTAGTACTGTTCTTCCATATTTGGTTGGTTAAATGACCATTTCAATAATGCAGTACACAATACAGTAATCCAATTCGTAGTTACAATTGTACATGCTCATTTAAACTTCAATTAACATATTTTTGTCTGACATTGCTTCCTCAGGGGCAGATCTGGGTCCAAATTTAGGATGGGGGGGGGGTCACAATGTTTTTTAAAAATCCAAAAAGAAAGAGGAATAAGGTGTCCTCTCCGGGGAAAATTTTGATTCCTAGATGGCGGGAAATGAACTTTTCCAACTTCTGAAGTGTCTTTTAATGACTTAAATGGAAATTGAAGATAAGCGAATGGTTCTTGTGCGAAAAAGATTATTGTCCAGAGAGCATGGCTCATGAAAAGAATGCAGTGGGTATTTACAGAAACAGCTGATGAAATCAGTAGTGGTGGTGGTGGTAAGCTTGTACGCCATCTACCAATTGAGCTTAGCAGGATTATAGCAGGTTCTTGCAAACTCAGATGAGAATGTGCTAAAAGTGCAAATTGTCACTTATTCAAAATTGAGGGGGCGCTTATTCAAATTAGGAGGGGTGCTTATTCAAAAGGGGTGCTTAAGAAAATATTTGTTTGTGAGGGGTGCTTATTCGAGAGGGCATTTATTCAAATGGGGTGCATATTCGCGCCAGTATGGTAACCATACAGTACTTTCATTTAAAGACACCACTCAATTACCTGCTGTGTCTGTTTTATTTGTAGCCCTGAACTGTTTCACTAATACTGCTGCTACAAAATTGCTTTTCTTCCTTATCTGAAGACAGCATTCCGCTTGCTACATCAACCATTTCCATTTGTCACATCATCATTTGAAGTTTGCATCAATGTTTCTGTGCCAGAAGAAGGTATTCATTTGTCATCTGTAATATTTGAGTTTTCCAATGATGTTGCTGCTACCTCAGTATTTGGCTCCACAACCATGCTACTTGATGCCTCCAATGATGTTGCTTCTACCTCAGTACTTGGCTCCACAACCATGCTACTTGATGCCGCCAATGATGTTGCTTCTACCTCAGTACTTGGCTCCACAACCATGCTACTTGATGCCTCCAATTATGTTGCTTCTACCTCAGTACTTGGCTCCACAACCATGCTACTTGATGCCTCCAATGACGTTGCTGCTACCTCAGTACTTGGCTCCACAACCATGCTACTTGATGCCTCCAATTATGTTGCTTCTACCTCAGTACTTGGCTCCACAACCATGCTACTTGATGCCTCCAATGACGTTGCTTCTACCTCAGTACTTGGCTCCACAACCATGCTACTTGATGCCTCCAATGATGTTGCTTCTACCTCAGTACTTGGCTCCACAACCATGCTACTTTATGCCTCCAATTATGTTGCTTCTACCTCAGTACTTGGCTCCACAACCATGCTACTTGATGCCTCCAATGATGTTGCTTCTACCTCAGTACTTGGCTCCACAACCATGCTACTTGATTCCTCCAATTATGTTGCTTCTACCTCAGTACTTGGCTCCACAACCATGCTACTTGATGCCTCCAATGATGTTGCTGCTACCTCAGTATTTGGCTCCACAACCATGCTACTTGATTCCTCCAATGATGTTGCTTCTACCTTAGTACTTGGCTCCACAACCATGTTACTTGATTCCTCCAATGATGTTGCTTCTACCTCAGTATTTGGCTCCACAACCATGCTACTTGATGCCTCCAATGATGTTGCTGCTCCCCCAGTATTTTGCTCCACAACCATGTTACTTATTGTTTTTAATGATGTTGCTGCTAAGTCAGGGCTTGGTTTCACAAATATGTTAGTCCTACTTGATGTTTCAACTGATGATGCTACCACAGTGCTTGATGTGTTTACTGACGCTGTTGCTTTTTCGGTACTTGGTTCTACAAGTATATTACTTGATGCTTCCTCTGATAATGCTGCTACTACAGAGCTTGCGTCCACACCCATATTACTAGATGTTTCAAATGATGTTGCTGCTACCTCAGTGCTTGGTTCTACAACCATACTAGTTGATGGTTTTACTGATGATGATGATGCACTAGTTGTTGAACTTGTAGCATCGGTTAGAACTGCGTTAGTATGAGTAGACTGCTGTGAACTCACAACCCTGTCAGTGCCTGGCTCAGTATTAACAGCATCTGTGCTATTTTCTATGATGGATGAATGACACATAGGACAGTTGTCTTTCACATACAACCATTTCTTAAGGCACGCACCATGAAAGTAATGACGGCACGGTGTAACTCTAGCGTTAGTCATTTTCTCATAACAAATTGCGCACACATCATTTAATAATTTCAGTTCAGCTTCAGTTGCTTGTTTCAATATATTGATTTTTTTCATTGCTCCCCTCCTCCGCTTCACACTGTCCCAACCCTTTTTGGCACTTTGCCAAACATTGAAATAAAAATGAAGAAGTATAATAGAACTTCCGCTAAGGCTGAGATCAGAAAAAACTGCATCAAAACCGCCAAAGCAGACGCCACAGACAGCTACAGCGAACTCCAAGGCATGACCAAACCCATGGATCCAGTATACAACATCATCTAAATTTTCCCAGGGTTCCGTACGGAAGTTATCAATCATGAACAGGGCATATATCATTAAGGAACTAAAGGTGTGAAGGGACGTTAATAAACAACTTAAGGAGATGATCAGAATCCAAATGTTTGAATTAAAAACATTAATGAGATAATAAGTCATTATAATTGGTATGATAATTAGAATAACCACAAATACAAGAACTCTAACATGGGCTAGTATTTTCCTGTTACTGTTTGTGCTTAATAATAACAAAATCGGATTTGTCATCTCGTACAGAGATTGAAGCATTGACGATGCAACAATAAACAGAACAATACTTAGAGAAAATATTTTTTCTATTCGATTTAAGCCTAATAATCCCGTCTGAATAGCCAGTATGAAAAGGGTTATCCCCTCGATGGAACCGGTATACATACCATGGTCTTGTATATTCCCATTAAAACCTACTAGATAGATTCTACAGCTGCTGTGTATGAAATATGCAGTGTAAGATACAACATAACATAGGCCTACTAAACTCCAAGGACTTTCACAACTATCAGCAATCATAGCAAAAATCATAACAAACCACTTATCTTTGAAGGAAAAGTTAGTGTCCTTGTAATAACTATGAAAATGGTATATAAAAAGGCAGAACCAAAAACTAACATAAATTGATGGTAAAAATGCCTTCCTGTAAACAAGAAGAATTAAGTATTTTACTCTGTATCGCTGCATCATATACTTTAACTGTGTAAATTCATATGCAGCCAAATTCATAAGTGATGAGATATTAGATGACAAATAACTCACAATAACACACACAGTAACCCAACATGACACTAGGTGTGTTTTTTCTGCTACTTTCGACTCTAAAGAGAACGCACTAACAACTATAGGAGCGAGATAAGCTGAAAACATCCAGTAGCGTTTAGTCCTCATCAGCAACGTACATATCAGAACCAGGACACCTTGCTTTATGCTAAAACCAATCATTCTCTGCATAGATACGGCATCTTTGAAGATATACTGAGAATCGGAATCTTGAGAACTGGTAATGTAGTCTCTGGACAACCAATTAGATACAATTAGCAAGATGAAGGTTATTAGATGAATGTACACAGACTTCAAGTGGTGGACTGGAAGAGCGATAAGTGCAATGGCAGCAAGGTAACCTTCAAAGTAAACAAAATGAAACATTTAACAAGATAAATCTGAGATTACAAACCCTCGCCCTCAGTTGTGCCATATCTATATACAGTCGATTCGCTTGCACCCGCGCTGGTTGTTTAGTTATCAGGGTGATCAGTACCAAATTCAAGGAGGACCAAGATACACTGTCAATGTGCAAATGTTTGAGGTTTTCGGTCCAGTATATTTTGAGTTATGCGCCTGGAAGGACACACACACCAGACAGATGTGTGCTATTGCAATACCTGTATATCCTAGAGAATCAAATCATATAATTCACAGAAGTGATCAAGTTCAAAAATATTACCATCTAAATACTTCAGTCAATCAAATTTCTATAGTTACCACTTAACATCCTCTCTGTATATTTTTATATTCATTTTTTCTGTGAATTATATGTTAATTATTACCTCTACCATTATCAGGTCTTGCAATTGGGTGGGCTTACTTGCATTGACATATAACTGACAAAAATACTGTTGCAAAAACAATACAAATACACTTACCAATATATTGCATGCAAGAGGAAAGAAAGTGAATATCTACACCTAGATTTTTCACTAATTCTTTTTGTGTGAACTCATTTTCCTTCAGAAACTGTTGCTCTGACTTGTGGTATAGGAACTCAAGCATAAAAACACTTGGCAAACGCATCAATGTGGAGACGATTTGTTCCCCCATCTTCACCACCAGCAATGTTAATAACCACTGTTACAGTGCCAGGCTTATGTTATTCTCTTAGTCTTGAAGAGCCTGTAGAAATATAATGGTACAATTTTTATATTATTTCTTCTTGGAAAAAATTGGGTGGATTTTAAGCTCAAGTACAGTACAGAAAATTTTGTTTCTGCTGACTTAGTAGTATGCTTTTTGTGTGCTAGTTTTACAGATAATATGAGGCATGTCATGGCGATATGGTTAAGTTGTCGCACAGGCTAATATTTAGTAAATGAGCTTTAAAATATGGGAGCTCAAAAAAATTGCCTAAACATCCAAATTTGTTTTTCACTATACAGTACAGTAGATCAACAGTTTAATGTCTTATTATTAATCATATCCCAAAGTACTAGTTCTGGAAGTGGTCAACAAATCATTTACTTATAACGTTATTGTGTGTTCTAAACAGTGTATGCACAAAGCCAATTACTCAAAATCATGTTTACCTTGAATCATAACTAACTGTATACTACAAATGTCCAATTTCAATGAATGACCTCTCATTTCAAAGATTACATGCTCAGGTATCTGAAAATACTAATTTAAACATGAATTTTAATTTTTGCTACAACTTAGCCAATTTGCCACAACATGCCTCTTATACAAGAATAGTAGTAGTAGTAATACTACACCAAAATATTTGGTTATTATTGTCATCATATCGTTATTATCAAACTTATAGATACAAGGCCTAGTGCGAAATACAGTCGTAGCAGTACTAGTACTTCTAGGAGGACTAGGCTTTGCTAGTTACAGGTAATTATATGCCTACTCCAGCCAACATACTGTATGACAACGCTGCGGCTGCTATTGTACTGTAGCTCTAGCTAACTTTCGAAATCTATTCTAAGCCTAGGCTAGGCCTCGTAGCAAGCACTAGTAGGTTAGGCCTAGCTAGGCCCTAAGGAAGCAGGTCAACTCGGCCCCATGTCAACTCAGCGACAGTCAACTCGGCCCCAAGTCAACTCAGCGACAGTCAACTCGGCCCCAAGTCAGCTCGCCCCCATCCCATATCAACTCGGCCCCAAGTCAACTCGGTCCAGAGTCAACTCGGCCCTATGTCAACTCGGCCCCAAGTCAACTCGGCCCCAAGTTAACTCGGCCCCAATTTACTGTATATTTACGAAATGTTAAAAGGAATTTGAATTCATTATGTATATTTAATATGTCTATAACTCATTATGTATTGTCATTATTATGTTATTGTCGTTATTACTGTCATCATATCGTTATTATCATCAATTACTGTATATTATACCTTTTTATTATTGATAATTAATATTATTTTATTAATGCAGTTTTTATCATTGTTAGCCTATCTATGTGGTTGTAAATGAAAAAGAAATAACAATTTAGGCAACAATTTAAAACACTTTTTGGCATAGGGCCTAGTTCGGCTTTGCATTCAAATCAAAATTATTTAGTAAATACACAGTAAATTGGGGCCGAGTTGACTACTTGGGGCCGAGTTGACTCGAATTCGGCCCTCCCCAGGCCTAGGCCTAGCTGCCATATGGTACGTTGTTGTTGTTGCAATATTTGAACTATGCCTAGGCTAGGTAAATTGATAGCAATTATTTGTCCCATATAATTTCAATTTAGTTCACATGATATGAATATAAAGCCCTAGGCCTAGGCCCCACTTACATTCCTAGAACTTACAGCACTTGCGTAGACTTTTCGGCGGTGCGTGTTCATCATGATGCATGGTGGTGTTCATGTTTATCTCTTAACAGGATAACCCACTTATTTCCTAGGAGGGAGGAGGTAGGTAGAGCTGGGCAAGGTCAATGTTGTTCATAATTAGCTATTAGTTTAATTGTTAAGTTACTGTAAATACCATCCAAACTATTATCCTATTATACTTTAAACACTGTATGCTGTAGTTTTTAGAGTAAACTTCATGGAATGTTGTACCCTATTAATCAAAATAAACTAGGCCTAGGCCGTATGACGTCATGTTAAAAACTAGGATTAGATCTTCAGGAAAAAGTGCCCTTGCGCGTCACACGTCGTCACGTGAGAGGTGTCTCTGTTGATGATAGAGGGCCCAGCCAGCCCAGGCTTGGCTCTCTGAAAAGGAATTTTGCACAATATTAATCTCCTCCATCAGATAGGCCTTGAATAATATGTACGTATCCCTGCTTTAAGCTATGGTATCATATTTTGTTATTATATAATGAATGAGAGGGTAGGCTCACTTATTTTTAGGAGCTAGAGATTAGGCACTTCTCCTACAACCTAGGCTAGGGCAAAGCCTATTATAGTCCGCCTAGCCTAGCCCTAACTAACTTATTTAGTAGGCAAGGCAACCCTTCTGGCTGGCTGGGCTGGCCTAGAGTAGTAAGCCTAGCCTAGGCTACACTTGGTTTAATTTAATGGAGGGAGCAGAAAGCGGTTGTAATACTTTCTAAACTGTTTAATAGCTGTTGTACTACTACTATTCCAAGATTATATTTAATATTACTTATTATTATTACTACTACCGACAGTGGGGTGCTTGTTGACTACAGACTACTGTAGGCCTAGGATAGGATAGGTCCAGGAGGCCCTAGGGGCCTAGCCACAATTCAAAAAATACAATATTGATTTATATGTTTTTGGATTAGGATGTAACTTATGGGCCGTAGAAAGCAAAATTGTTTATATGGCCCAACTTCAAACAAAAATTTTTTTTTTATTTACCATTTTATTCATTTTATTAAACAAAATACTAGTTGCGAAAAAATTGTAAATAAAAATATATCTATTGATTTGTCTAATGTTCTTCGTCCCTGTGTGCAGGGTAGGCCAACTGTACATGAAAAACAGAATAAATATGTTGTTTATTTACATTTTTTTTCCTCAGCCCATACATAAGATGAATTAATAACTGGCTGATAAGAAAATGGAGGAGAATACAAACCAAGTAAGAAAAAAAATCCCACTGTTTGCACATGTGGCAATGAGGGTCCCTCTTCTCTTCGCATTCAACAGCTTACTCAACTGTGTGTCATTGTCATGGAGACAAATTCTTGACAAGGTTTTTGTAAATAAAGATGACGATTTATTTGTTGCAGAGGGAAATTCATTTCCAATTCTACACCTTTTTCTATGCTTGTTAGGTAAGTCAGACACTTTCATATTTACGCACTATGTTGATTTTTATATGTTTTACATATTTAGTAACTGTACTTATTGTAGAGAAAAAAAATCACTCCAGCTTATACTACTTACTGTCCAATTGAAAATACACAATTTCCAAGTTCATTTTCCTTTGCTTTTTTTAACCAATGTGTTTTATAACTGATTTTAAATCTTTTCTTCTCAGGAGTAATTTGTGTATTTTTCCTGTTCATCCTACCACCGCGGATTATTTCCAAGTTATATGTGCTTGTCATATCCTGTGGAATTCTACAGGTATCATATTGGTGGAACCAACAATTCTTAATGAAGCTGCACTCAAACAGCTCAACAGAGCAATGGGACATGATGTTTCTCGAAAGACAACCAGAATCATGGAGACACTTAGAAAGCCACCAGATAATATTTTCAAGAGACTTATTAGTATACGTTATCCTCCAATGTTCGTATGCATCATTGTTTGCCATCTTGCTAGGGCAACATATAGATATGTTTTTACCAAGAGCAGTAACATTCTGCAATTTTGTCATGTTTTTACCTGTTATGGTGGCTATCATTATGCATGAGCCAGGAGTTGAAATACACCTAGGTCAAAACCTGATATCTACATGCCAGATTGTCACAATCGTAGTATCATTATTTGTTGTAACTTTGTGGCTCTGGTCTGTTATATTTGTTAGCAAGACTCTCAAGATTTGTGAATTTTTCCAAATGATTCGGACGATCCGTCGAGATTTTGGACTACAAGTTTTGATTGAACACGAGTGGAAGCGGTTACGCGTGCCAACTCTGCTAAGAGTCTTCTGGATAAGTAATTCCTTGTGGTTAGCTTCCGGGCATTATATTAATCTCTGGTACAAGAGTAACGATATAGTTGCCCACCTAAATTGGACAACTTTCACAGAGATAGCCTCGGAAGTTGCAATAGCTGGTTGCGGATCAATCATTATGCTTCTCGGTATGAGTGCAGTGATAGCTAAAATAGCCAATCAAATAGGTTGCGTTGTACATATGATAATCAAAAGTACGGATGAGGAAGAAAAGTACATTGGAACTGTTTCCGCTGTTTTGTTCTTCATTCTCGCACTTCAGACAGGTTTGACAGAATTAGAAGGTGAAGCAAGATTAGTTCGTCTTTTTAGAAATTCTTGTCTTCTTTTTACAGCGATTCTACACTTTATTCATAACATGTTGAATCAAGTGATGTTAACTTTAGGAGCCTCACAGAACATGTCAGTGAAACGTCACATGCGTGTGTTGTTTGTCGATTTCCTCCTTCTTGTTATCCCGTTCCTTCTCTTTTATCATCTTTGGATGTCATATGAAATGAGTACGTGGATCCTAGCTGTGTCTGCTTTCTGTCTTGAACTGTGTATCAAAGTGATGGTCACCACATCTGTCTACACACTTTACATGATCGATGCATGCTGGAATACTTATTGGGAAAATCTGGATGACTATGTCTACTATTTAAAAGGAACAGGGAGTGTCATTGAGTTCCTCTTTGGTATTTTCTTATTTTTCAACGGTGGTTGGATACTTTTATTTGAGTCCGGTGGCATAATACGATTAATTATGATGAGCATACACGCCTATTTTAACATTTTTGTACAAGCCAAAGATGGCTGGAAGATGTTTCAAAATCGCAGGACTGCTGTAAGTAAAATAAACAGCTTAGAATATGCAACGCAAACACAGTTATCAGGACACGATGACGTTTGTGCAATCTGCCACCATGAATTGCAAACGGCGCGTGTCATGCCTTGCGGCCATTTATTCCATGGAGTGTGTTTACGCAAGTGGCTATATGTACAGGATGTCTGCCCACTGTGTCAGAAAAAACTTGTAGAAAAAAACAAAGTTGAAAAAAATGTAGTTGAAAGAGTGGAGGATGAACCTCCAGAAATTGCCCAGGCTTTACAAAATGACCCTCAAGAAGTTGCCCAGGCTTTGCAGAATGAACCAAGACAGAACTCAAATAGAGAGAATGAGCAGGGTACTGGCAATATAACTCAAGATAATACTGAACAAGAAAACTCACCAGTAAGGACTTTAGATCATCGGAATGATATCGAGCAGTTTAGTGATACAGACGATGAAAACTCACTATCTGGTTCTAACCATGTGATGATGAGCGTGAGACATAGGAGACATTGTCAAACATCTAGGGATATATTTGTTGAAAATGTTGCCCAGGGAAGTGAAGCAAAAGTCTTTGAAAATGGCCAACATGGATATTTGGGTAATTTGGGAAACATTTCATCATCATCATCATCTGATGGATTTGAAGAATAAATATAATTCTCAAATTAGTCTGAATTTCCATTTCAATTAACTTATAATTCCATTTCAAAATTTTATTTTGCGATATATGTATAATAGTTTGTATTGCCTAACCCACAAACTTGGTGTATCGAAATGGGGGGGGGGTGAGATGATGGAGGATGTGAAAGTGAAGTTGGACTCAATGATTAAGTGAGGTGTTTTGAGATGATTTTTAACTGCGTAGCATGATTTTTTTTTAATTTTTTTTTTGCTTTGAACATTTTCAATGGGGGATGCAAGCCCTTCCCCCTCCCATGCATCCCCTAGATACAGCACTGTTATCAGGTATGATATCACTAGTTCAAGATATCAATATCAGATCTAATCAGTTGAGATTTAATTACATCATAATGTTGTATTTTAGTTATGGACTGATGAGATCAGTTCTTGATGTTTAGTAGCTATGATTTAATGGCCTAAGTTCATGATATCATCAGTTGTAATCTGATGACACAAGTTTACAGTGTGATCATCATTTGTGTGGTGACATCAGTTGTGATCTGATGACAGTTTATGATGTCATCAGTTGTGATCTGATAACATCAGTTGTATCTGATGACATTACCAGTTGTAATCTGTTGACATCATCAGTTGTAGACTGATAGCACCATCAGTTGTGATCCGATGACATTATCAGTTTTGATTGATGATATCATCAATTGTATCATAAGTCAGGGGCAGATTTGGAGGGGCGGCCCACCCCCGACTCCCCCTTTTGGGAAGTAAAAAAAAAAGAGGAGAAAATAAAGAAAGAAAAAGAAAAAACTGATAGCCCAGAATGCCTCAAATGTTATTTTCGGGCGTCTAGAACACAAACATTTAGTGGGGTATACCCCTGGACTCCCTAGGACAGTTTTGTCTGGATCAGACCAACTTTCGGCCCCCCCCCCCTTTTTGGACATCTCTGGATCCGCCCCTGCAAGTTGTGATGCAATAGCATCATCAGTTTGATCTGATGACATCATCAATTTTAATCTGATAGCACCATTATTTGTAATCTGATAGCATCATCAGTTGTAATCTGATAGCATCATCAGTTGTGATCTGATGACATCAGAGTTGTCATATATGCCAACTTTTAAAAATAAACTATAAGGATTGTTTCCATGATTCCATCTGTTATCTTTTAAATCTGCTGTAAAAAGACTTACTAAATTTTATTATACAGTAGGCCAGCATCACTTCATATATAAATACGGTTCACACACAAGCACAAAACATAAACACGCACAATATGTTGCAATCGTTGCAAATTGTAAATGTGTGTGTATGATCCTTGTTCAACACTACAAGGAAAATCGGATCAGATGCCTATGCCTGTGCCTGTAGACCTGTGGCACCGACAGTGCAGCGCCTCACATGGTCAGCGTACCACCTGGCAGAGTTGGTGCACTGCCTGGCATGCGGTCAGTGCATGGGAGACAATTCTCTGCTTTTAAATACTGTAATGGAGTTCTTCATTGTACAAATGTGATATTGTACACAACGGACTATGGCTTAATGTTTCAAAGGACTAGTTAATTAAAAGCAAAGTGTCTTTACTACGTTCACAAAGAAGTGCAGGTTTTATTGAAATATATTGCATTATTTTATCTCTGTTACAAAGGCACTCGTCACCAAGAGTGCAGATCTGTTTTGAACGGTGGGGGAGGGGAGACATTTCGAGAGACCACACCCACCTCATCCTAACCATGGATGGGGTGAGACACGAAAATTTGAGGAAATAATACCTTAAGCTGGCCGGAAATGACACCCTTATATACTGTAGTAAAAGTCATCATCATAACATCATCTTTTATCAACCATTTTCGGCTATCATAGAGATCTAATTAATCTGTATTGTACCATGAAAATAAAACTTAATTGTCTTTGATGTATTTACTTTCCCTACTTCGTGTGCCGAAAATCATATACTTCTCATATTATAACAAATGCACGCGAACTCGAGTCGTGTATTATAGGTAATTCAGACGTTAGTGATAAAGGTATCTTGTTATAATATAGATTTACAGTACTGTATTGTACTCGGGCTTTACAGCGCTTTATCGTTAATACCTGGGTCATGCAGTTCACTTCAACAACTTTCAGGCATCATCTTTACCTAAGAAATTACATTGCGGTCGAAACGTGGGGACCATTCCCCCTTAAAAATATGTGGGGGGTGTTTCCCCATGATCTGCACCCATGCTCGTCACACACATACACGTCGCATGAATAGTGAGTATTCCTACAAGTGTGCATGCTTTAACACAGGTTGCCTGAAGTACTCACTACCCAAGAACCATCCCTGAGTGGAAATTACTTCCTGACGATGTACGCTCCACACCAGACCTCGCTGTCTTCAAGGCAGCTGAAGACAATATTGATATTGGAAGCCATGCCCATTTCAAAATGTAATTGCATTGCCATAGCCACATTTGACACTATACTGAGATAGTCATTTATTGGACAGATAGGCCTACAAGCAGAACCAAAATTGGCCTCAAACGCTGTCCATCTCTCTCCAAAGTCCAATGGCTTTGTTCCGACTTTTGCATTCAAACCAATGATTGCAACTTAGGGTATGTGTGAACATAGCTATTATATATTAGGTTACAAAAAGCACATTTGATCCACCATTATCATTTTCTAAGCCAATTATATTTATAGTGTGTGAGTATGTTGGGGGTGGGGGAAGCACAGACAAACTTTGGAAATTCATTTTGATTCTAAATATGATGTAGGTCTAGTTCAACATTTTCTATGGCAGCAAACATTATCCTTAAATTCTTAGGCCTATGCATTTTCTTGTTTTTAATTATGTTTATTTTAACATTACTGTATTAAGCTATAATTTAATAATGAAGTAACTATATAAAATAGGTTAAAATAATTCTGATATAGAAATATATTTATTGATTAACAAATTATATTTATTTAATAGGAAGTTGGTAATACAAAGTTGTGTTTGTACACAAAGATCGAATCTCTCAATAGGTTTCTTTTATGTATTTTTTTAATCATTGTACCTGTAGGCCTACATTGATAAAATTGTTCTTAACGGAGGTCAATTCGGTATACCTGCTTTAGTAACCTTTCTGTATAAAATATTATATAACATATGTTTGTTTGTTTTCCAATTACGTTTGTTATATAAAATAAACATTTGGAGAATAACTTAATGAGTTTCGGTGATAATTTAGGTTACTGAATCTATTAATGATAAGCCTATGAAAACTTATGTATTTTGTGCACTGTCCATATTCATGGGAAATCAATTTTATAGGCAGAATTCGTAATCTACATCAATTTGACCGTCATTTGTAAACAATATATTACAGTACAGTAATTGTATAATAACATATGGTTGTGTAACATAATCAGTGTTGATTCTTTATTTTATATGGACTAGCGTTCCGAAATAAAAGTTTAATTTGATTGATTGAATATAGATATTGAGTCCATGCTCATGTAAGAATAAGAAAACTGTAGCTATAGTATATAAGCTCCAGCTTATGATATGCAAACCAATTGATTTTTATATGAACTAAATTTGAGCAAAGCTAACGTTTCCAAACACTATTATATTCACCGTCGCTCGTTTCAAGTCTGAAAATAAGTATTTGAAATACACGTACAGGTATATATCAAAAAAACAATGATATCTGATCCACATTATTCAAAGTAACTGATTAACATTTATCAGTTACCTGTACATTTGAAATATTACAAGAAATCACACCGACATCACTTTCATTTTTTCTTGGTTTTTTTCATTACAGAATTGAGTTCAAAGTGATAATATATACGATTTGAAAAATTGGCTCGTCGACACAGGGCTCAGTGCAAAGATTAAAGTTTTTGTCGGAGAGGGGGATGGGAGATCTTTAATTTTACACAAATTGAAATAAAATAAATAGGTGAATAGAATGTTTGGCCTACACAGGCGAATGACATACACATTTGCCTAACCTCACAAATGACCGTCATAGACACTTATTAATCCTAAACGTGTGATGTGTGATCCCAGAAAAAACATGTAATTCTACTAGATTAGAATATTAATAGATTGATTTGAGAATGATGTTGCTTCTATTAGTTTTTACAGTCATTTGAGGAGGTGGGGAAGGGGGGCGTGTATCTAAGATGAGGCTCTGGAGGGGCGTTTATTCGAAGGGGTTTTTACTATAGAAAAAAAACGGTAGTTATGTACAATGACACGTCTCCAATTATCGGACGCAAATCGCAATAGGCAAATGCTGCTATATGATATATGATATGTACACATGCGATCATCTTTTTACAGAATAACCCCATGAATCATGCATGGTAGCTTTTACTATACGGATTTTTATACCTCCTTGGATACAGGTTGTCTGCTTCTGAGGAGCTTGAGGATGCAGAACTAGGGGTGGACGCAGGATGTTTTGTTGGGTGTTGCCCAAACAAGGTTCAAAGTACCGATCGGGGGTGGGCATGCCTGATAGTGGAAATCCCATTGTTCGAAAACAAATTATAAGACCCCTCGGAGGCTCAGCCTTAGAAGTCATCATATGACTAATAAAGTTCTCAGATATTTCGAAGGGGCGACCAATCACTGTTAGTGGCCCAATCTTCCTATCTAGGCTATAGGCTGACCATTCTTCACATAAGCTTAGGTTTTCATCACCATTGAAACACTGCATTGAATCCATGTATTATAAAAGTCATTATGTTTTGCACATATTTATGTTTTATGTGAAGATAATTTTGTTATTCTATATAGCACACGCTAACAAATTCTAATCGTGATACTTAAACTATTGTTCATAACGAAACATACAGGGGCTTCGTGCCCTATTTAGTCCATATAAACATGTTTATTTGCTCTATGATTATAAACAATCGAATCACATTTCCACAAGTAAAAACAATGCTATAATACGTAAGAAACATTATTTTAACTGTTTTCTATTTAACTTCTTTGTTTCTATAAAACCTTTACTGATATTCTAAATTTCATAATTATAAAAGATATTTTGGAAATCACGTAAGGTCTTGATTCTCGACGATACAAGGTAAAAATCACAAATACTAGGCCTACTATTGTTATAATGAAGTTGTTATATATTTTTTCGACGACTTGAAATCAAGGGTATTGGCTGGGCAACTAGGGCAACACCCCTCCGTCGGCCCCTGAGAACTATTCGGTCGGATTTTCCCCTTAATAATCGTCGTGTTGTCATCGATCTCTCGGCAAGTCTAGCATTCCAGTCTGGTGTAAAAATCACTTCTGGTTGTTCCATCTGATTGTCTTACCGCCCTCTATAGTTTGAAGATGGTCTGGTTGTTTGTTGATTTTTAGAGTTGTGTGCGAATGATCACAGTGAGAATGAATTAGAGATTCGAAAAATGGAAATGTTATGACTTTGAGGATGAAATACAAGTAAAGGTATATATTGAAAACTAAATAATTATACTCGATTACTCAGAGCTACCATCCCATGATGAAGGAACATCGAAAAGTTGATAATGACAGTAGTAAAATTGAGTCTACAAAGCTAGGCCAACAAGAATCCAGGAAGCCATCTAAACAGAGTGGGAAATCAACGCCCATGATATTTACATCAACATGGCCAATTTTTAAGTTCAAAGGAAGAACATCAGATAAGAAAACGTTACGGAATTCTCGCAATGGCAAGTTAAAAAAGGGTCAGAAATCTAAATCTGGAGATGAAGATGCTGATTTTGTTCATGATATCCAAGAAACTTTGGATCACCCAGAGCAAGGTCAAATTTCATCTTCAAAGAATGAACGAAGTAGGCCTAAGCCTTCAATGGGAAATGTTATTTCGAGTGAGGAAGAAGCTAACGAAGGGACGACAGTGAAGTATGATGTACAAGACCAGGTTATGAGAGTGTGTACCCATGCTCTCAATGGGGCTTTAAACTCGTGCTGCTTATCTGCTAAGGAGGGTTATGAATCTGATGATAGACAAAGCTGTGAAGAATATGGCACGGCCATTGACAATAATGTGGCGAGCAGGCATTGCAAAGAAGATAGTGACATGGGATCCAGTGATTTAAGGACTAACTTGCAAGAAAATGATTGTATACAGTGCACAGCCTTATCATTAGGAAGTATAGACAAGTTACAAGGTGGTTATGAACCATTGTCTAGGCCTAATTCAGATAACACTAATCATAGTTTTAGGGATGTTAACTACGATTGTCTTTCAAATCAAAGTAACCTAGATGAAAATATCGGCCAAAATGATGATATTGATGATGGGACCACTCAGAATGAGCCAGCAACGTTAGACGTCTCAAGTTGTGAGACAACGAATCAAATTGAAATAGTTCAGAAAAACCTATTGCCAAGAAATTCATGTCCGCCAAGAATTAATTCGGGTGATTTAAGAGATCAGCTCCAGTTATTATCGGAACCCAAAGAGACAATTACCAATCTTGATTACCCTATAAACCAGACAGCTTCATCGTGTGAAGACAGTCCAGATAATTCACATTCTGTTACAAGCTCATCGTGTAGTATATCGGTACCCGGATTACTTGCCGAGGATTTTAAAACAATTGAAACGGATTCAAATTACCAAGACTTTGTGGAGGTCAGTCTCTTTGGATCCAGTCCTCCTGCGAGTCCAAAGTGTAATGAAGAAGAGGAATCTGCTTATAATCAACAAGGTGCAAAGCCTAAGAAAAAAGGGATTGGCAATTTCTTGACAAGGTGAGTTACAGTGCCTGTAAATTTATGTAAACCATTATAAAATGTTTGTACTTACAGGTGCCTGTAAATTTATGTAAACCATTATAAAATGTTTGTACTTACAGGTACTGTAAGTGTCTCTGTTCAAAAGTGTGAATACTCTGTGCCAATTATTATGTCATCGGGAACTTTTTATAAAATTGAACAATTGTCATGAAGTTAGCAAATACCTTGTTAAAGAATTTGAAATATAAAACCTTTTAATTTACATTATTCTTTTTGGGTCTGCGCAAGGCGGTGATCCCAGAGCCTCACTGCTGTTCTTGTTCTTGTTCAAAACTTCAAAAGCATACATTACTGCTATTACCACTAATAGGGCACATCGCATGGATGGCACAGTTGTTTAAGGATGTGTTCTAAAGAACTTAAGGATGAGTTTGAATCGTGTCTTGGTATTCAATTTTTTTTTTATACCAATTTTAAGAAATTTTATTTTTCAATTTTAAGATATTTTAGTTTTGTACAAATAAACATTCTACTGTAAATAACAATTTTTTTTTTTTTTTTAAACATCCTAATTATTTAAAAATTTCTATCTTATTATCTCTTCCAAAAAACCCAGTATAACTTGCACCTTTACCATATTTACAGTAAGCGTGGAGAAACATGCAGATCAGTGAGCGGTCGCTCTTGTTTATCAAATTTACGGGTATTGCTAAACCCCGCATACCCTGCAAACCTCCAAAAACACAGTGCAAACCCCATCCAAACCGTAGGGTATATACAGTACTGTAAGTTTTTCTTTTCTTTTTTTTTTTGTTTATTAATATTAATGAGTAGGATTTATGTTTACCCTACCAGTACACAGGATTCAAATTTCCCCACAGCACTGACAACAATTGCTGTACTGTAGAAAAGGCCTTCCACTGCTGTTGAAAATCTCAGCCTCGATAGCAAGCTTTTTTTTGTTGACATGTAAAATTAGATTGACTTAGAAATTATTCGACTTACAGTAGGCAAAGTCGACTTAGGCAAGTTTCATTGTATACTACAAATAGGCCTACGGGATTCGTAAAACAAATTACCAAGCTTGTTGCCGTAGAAGAAGAATAAATTGCTGTAGTAAAGCCATTGCCCACAGCAGCTATTTGCTGATGGAGCATTTTGAGGATATTTGAACCCTGGTACCAGATATCCTACATTCACAAGATCTGGCAAAAAGATTTTACAAGTTGTTCGAGAAGGAATCAAACCCACAACATATTGATAGCCTAGTGTCATAACTACTAGACTACCGACCTCGTGCTTAGTAGCTAGCGTTAAAACTGATTCACACACGAACTTGCAAGATTTTGGAATGTATTAGTAGACGGTTACGATAATCCGTCGGGTAGAGCATAAGATGATAATGATGGCGCAGTATATTTATTACTGCTATTGTGTTTCAACTTGTACTGTAATAGATCATGGACCTATTAATAATTAATAGGTCCATGGTAATATCATACTCTATTAATAATAATTACTTTATCATCTAAAGCTTTTATCTACATTATTTATTTTATAGGCCAAGTCTATAATTTTTCTTAGCTTTGACCAGACAATAAAGAAACATGACTACAGTATATGGGCATACAAATGTTTTTTGTCAAAAAAAATTTTATATTTAGAGCTTAATCATCTTTTTTTTTTCTGGTGTTCCAGTTTCAGTCCAACAATTTTTGTTTATATTTATTGTTCTATTTGATGCATCTCTCTATGTTACAGTACTGCACTTTGTTTTGGAAGTACTGTAGAAACTAAATAAAATAATTATCAGTGATTGATTGATTGATGGAATAATTGATTGATTTATTTATTGATCAATTGTTGGATAATGAAAACACACTTTTTATCAGAGGAGTGATTATGTAGACCCTGAGTCTTGATTGAATAGAATGAATTCTCTTTTATTCCAAATTTGTGTTGGCTAGCCACAACTACTTTATTATTCAATTTGTTGTACTTCCTTGAATGCCATTCTATAGTGCTCTGGCTTTTAGATTAGCTCTACTTTCACAGTTGGGATTCCCAATTCTCTACCAAGTTCACAGGACCTGTTTACCCTAGAGAACATTTGTTATTCAAAATTTGCAGACTTATTCTCTTTAGTGTTTACAAGTCAAGTGATTATTATAAAATATTTCCTCATATCTGTGCAATATGCCACATACAGTAATAATTATACAGATAGTATACAAATATCTGTCGTTGCAATCATACTGTACAACCGAAAACTGTCATATTCAGTGGTGTATCCAAGAATCTTGAGGTGGGAGGTGAAGGCGATGCGCATCCCCTAGATATGCCACTAGTCATTGTGACAACAACAAAAAAAACAGAAAAATAAAACTTGAATTATGAAATATAATAATATTTCTGTACTGTACAGTATTGGAATGTTAATGTTGAGACCTCAGAACTGATCTCTGGGTGATGTACCGTATTTCAAATTTTTTTTTAAATGGCTGCTTAAAAATGCTGAGGACCGCCGCTAACATAATATCTGATGACTACAGGAAATTCAACTTTACTTTAAGATAGCACATTTGTTATTAATAAACCTTGCTCTTGTTGAACAGGAAATATCCAGTTGATATTCAGCTTATGTGACAATCATCAACATATCACCATCTCTTTGTGACAGTGACGCTGACAGTGTGTGACATTTCAACATGTTCATGGATAAAAAGTCCCTTGTTGACAAAGTGAAAGTCATACATTTTTTGAAAAACATTTCAGTCCATTTGAATAAACTAGAGGCATGATGATCTACTGTTGAGTCTAACACTGTAGAACTCCATAATTCGTAATTCAAACCTTAAATTTATAATCATTATTTTTATATTATAATTATGGGTTTAATGATTTCTTATACATAATAATAAAATATATTAATTACAAACCAGCAACATTCTGAGACTTTTTTTCTAAAGATGTTATTTATTTACCACATGGTTTCGCAGGCAGTCGTTGCCAGCAAAAGCCTGTAACAAATTGATTATGTTTGAATTTAGACACACACTGATGAAGCTGACATCAAACTGCCAGCAAAAACTCTTATGAATAAATTTTGAGTTTTACGTCTTGGGGTGACTGTCTCTTTGTACTTCTTGCTATTGTTTAGAATAACTCAGCTATACTACTAATAATTAATTAGTACAATAAGTACAAATTTCCATCTATTCCATGCCTTCTTTTTCCCATGCTTGTCCATGCTGTTTTGTAATTGCTTTTTAAACATCCAACACATGCTATTCATCCATTCATTATTTGGAACCCTCAATTTATTATCAACAATATCTTATTTCCCTTTTTTCTTTTATCAAGGAACCTATTTCCTCGTCTGTCTGGTGGAAAATCCTAAGTCCTGATTGGGCTATAATAATGTACCACTTATAATACCTCCATGCACTAATAATATATCCCTGGTTGAAGAAAGAAAAGACAGGTTGATACTTTTTTGTTTAAATATTATCTCATTTTGACTTGAATGCTGGTATGATTAAAATAATACCACACACCACTTTCAATAAAGAAAAAAATAATTAAAATGTCACACTTGTTATACATTTAGAAACCTTCCAGCAAAAAATGCAGATGAAGAGCAGAGGCACCGTTACATGTGCGACCAGATGGTGAAAGGCGCCATGCTATTCATCCATTTATTATTTGGAACCCTCAATTTATTATCAACATCTTATTTCCATTTTTTCTTTATCAAGGAACCTATTTCCTCGTCTGTCTGGTGGAAAATCCAAAAAAATATCAGCACCTGATGGCAACCACAAAGAGGAGTGGACTCCTTTTGGTCGGATGCAAGTGAAGGACATGCCTGACATGAAGCAAAAGGGTTACACACATCCACCTACAGGTTCAACATCATGGAAGAATCGACATGCATCCCTTGGGGTTGCAAGTTCCACGACGGCTTTGATATTTGAGAATCGTCCAGGGTAATTTTTTTTTCTATTTTTTTCTTTTTGTGTCTATTGCCCCCTGGGGGCATAGACACTATGTTATTGTCTGGCAGTTAATCCTGTAAGAGCTAGTAAATCCAGTGGAGGTGCATGATGGGTACTGCTACCACGAAGTAGGGGGCGCCCTATTAGAAATCGGATAGGGTTTAGAACTCAAAGAAAATTGCGTTTGAAACTCAAACATGCGTTATAGAGACGGAGCACGCATTCGATACTAACATGTTTTACTGTCTTTTGAAGGACACCCTCTCGATTGTGGTAGTAGTTTTCAATATACAATACCAAAATAGGTCAAAGGCAACATTTTTAAAAAAAATTTTGATTTTAATGTTTTTGAATAACTTGATACTTATATTTTATGATTGTGTACTTTTTAAGTGAATTTTCTTTACTAAAACATTGTTCTCTGCACATATTCTGTAACTCTAGTACTATTATTTGTACAGGTTAGTTTATCTTTGAAGCCGATTTTCTCAAAACATGGTTCTCATACACCTAAACGTTAAATGCTCACATCTCTGGATCTATTTATCCTAGGGAAGTCATTCAAAGATCAAATTAAAGCTTATATTGTGATCTAACAAAATATAATATAAACTCATTTTTTGATTTTTTAACGATGAGACTCATTTTGTAGTGAGACCTCACATTTAGTATAACATAATAAAGTATAAGGCTATAGACACAGCCTTGCGCTGGCAGCCTATTTTTATACAGCCTTAATTTCCAGATGACTCGATACATAATGTAATACAGTAGAACAGTACATAATCACAATACCACCTCACTGTTCTACAGGTAGTATGTCTTGCCTTTTAAGGACCTCATACTGAACTTGCCAATTTGAAAAACATTATGGCTCCCCGCATGCCTATGATGTAGAGACAAGCTGTTTAATTCTTATGACATTTACAGTAATATTTCTTTTTATTATAATTGGATGTTGTCTAAAGTTGCCAGTAGCTGGTGGTAGATAACACACCCCACATAATATTAGGTCTAGAATATTTTACACAGCCCAAGTATGCTGACGTGATTTCAACCAACAGTTTTTCCATTCTGCAGTTTTTTACATTTGCTTACACAACCTAACAAATTTTCCAAGTACTTCCTATGGAGTACCATCTAGTACACAGCATCCTAATTCCTGATTGGGCTATAATAATGTACCACTTATAATACCTCCATGCACTAATAATATATCCCTGGTTGAAGAAATAAAAGACAGGTTGATACTATTTTGTTTAAATATTATCTCATTTTGACTTGAATGCTGGTATGATTAAAATAATACCACACACCACTTTCAATAAAGAAAAAAATAAGTAAAATTTCACACTTGTTATACATTTAGAAACCTTCCAGCAAAAAATGCAGATGAAGAGCAGAGGCACCGTTACATGTACGACCAGATGGTGAAAGGCGCCAAGAAAAAAGGTAATCTGGAAGACTGTTAAAACAGTCAAGTTCGAAGGTCATTTCACTGTAAATAGCTTTTTAAGGTGGTTATTGTAATATGTGGTATTGCAAGGATACTGATTGGAAGGTAGTCTTGGCTACTGTGTTGAGTCTGCACCTGTTGTTCTAGGATTTTGACCAATCAGATGTGTTCCTGGTACTGCACCACCACAAGCTGTAGCTATGTTGAATGCTGGACAGTACTGACTTCCCGGTGCCTATACCAGAAAGGGAGAGCAATTGAATTACCCCTTTTTCTGACCTGCCAAGCACTTATTCCTGTAGGTCACAACTCATCAAATATAAAAAAAATGGGGGTTTTATCTTAATAATTTTTGAAAAAAAAATACATTTTATTAAAGCATACAGAACAGCTTAAAGTTGGCCAAATTTGCTCAGTTTCTAGGTGCTAAGACCCCAACAGACTATGCTCCTAACCTCTGCCAGAAATTGTAAAACCAATTGGGTGGTCTACCCCATAAATTCCCCCTCTCCCATCTTGCCAAACCATAAAATAAATTTTAAAATGATTGCCACACCTCACCAATAATCTCACAGAAGTTGTTGTGAGTATGATCTATCAAGGTCTAATTAGGTCACACATCATTTAGGACCCTGAGCCCTACTATAACTCTGTGGTATGATATATCAAAATTAAATCTTTGTATTGCAGAGAAAGAACTTGCCAAACAGCTGGCAAAGAACCATGTCCAACAAGCCAAACTTGACCAAAAGGTGCACAACTCACTAACTGTGTGGAATAAAGATATCTTGCCAAACTTTGAGTCTGTGTAAGTGTTTCAATGATTGGTTTATACATACAGTACTCATGACAATGATGAAATTGTAAATTGAGACAATAATTGTGATGATAGTGACGACTGTAATGTGACGATGAAAATGTATTGTAGGAGAATGATGATGATGATGATGATGACAATTTAATGTTGTGTAGGATGTGATGAATTTTGATGCTGAAAATGATGCTTTAAATTGTAAAATAATGATGATCATCATGACAATCTCTTGGATTGTATGATGACAACAATGATGATGATCATATTTATGATAATTAGTCAAATGATGGTGAATGCAATTTATACTGTAATTAAAAGATAATGATTAATATGATAGTGAATCTTATTATAGTACAGATGATGACGATGATGATAATTTGATATACAAATTGAATACATACAGTGCTGTTGTTGAGCAAATATTTATTTATTTATTCTTTGTTTTGACTGGATACATTTTCAATACAAAAGTATAGGTCTCCCAAATGGTCCAGTTATTTTTAACATGGTAAGACTAGAAACTTATCAAAATACAATCATTTTAAATAATAAAAGCAAAAAAAAAAACCAAACAAACAAAACAAAACAAAAGGCATATAGACATGTAAGATGGATATAACTGAAAAGAACAATAATTTAAATATGTTAAAATTCAAAATTAAGAAATAGCATTTTTGAAAATGTTAAAACCCATATTGGTTGCATTTTACAAAATAATCTATTTTATATCTATTGTGTAGTCGTGGAGTTGATTTGTCTGAATTTGTTTGGGGTCATAGTTCATACTTCTGACATTATTGGATAGATAATGTGGCATTGCCAAGGGAAACACTTGAAAGGATCATAAATATAATGGAAAATGCAGAAGTACATTCATATATTATAAACACTGCAGGAAGTTGAATTATATATTACGGGTCATTGCTTGTCAGCAATGACATGGCACATGCAGATTTTCTTTACATTGTTCATTTTGACTGCAAATAAATTATTATTTTAGTGCCTATACTGGTACTGTCTGTGTAATCATCAACTGATATATAAATAGGTGATGCTTTACAGAAACACCAGGTTAATGTTTAACAATCTGAATATTCAAAATTTGAGGTCAGCAGAAAAACATTGGATGATTTTATGCAAATGACCCTTGTAGCAATTTTTAATATTGATTTAAAGCTGATTAACAACATTTAACTGTATTTTTATGTTATAAATCATATAAAGTTTATGTAAATCTTACTTATAGTGTATAAAACAAGTAACTGTATTATTAAAGAACTATACTTTCTATTTGGAGATTCGATTATTGTAAAATTTCTGATTGAAACTCTTGGTCAATATTAATAGCCATAAGATATTAAGCTTTGAAAAATCACTCATCCATCTACATTTTCTGTGTTGGCAATTGACTAGAATAACTCTACAAGTAGGCATGGCATCATATTTCATAGGCTTACATTTAGGAGACTGTTAATTTCTATCTTTAGCTTACTATGATGTAATGGTAACCTTTATTTGAACTTTGAACCCCATGGGGGATGTAGACACAAAGCTATAAACTAACTCATTCAATTGACTGCAAATGCAAATTCTTTAATATTTCCTTTCTTTGATTCTATTTTGCAGGAAACATCAGAAGAAGACAAAGGAACTATGGTGGAATGGGGTGCCCCCTAGTGTCAGGGGGAAGGTCTGGATCATGGCTGTAGGCAATGACCTCAACATAACACATGGTAAGGGCACAAAATGCAGCATAATGGTGCACTTCCTCTGAATCCAAATTTTCAGATCGGAAGGTCTACCAAACTGATCAGAAAACAGAATCAGTGTGTAAGAATAGGGACGCTGGTTTCCAGTACATCGGAAACGCAGTCCACCTTTTGTTTCAGATCCAGTACTTAACTGAGTTGGGCATGATCAAGTTTATCTGTGTATGTTGAACCAAATATAGATCAGTGGTTCATCTTCTATGCTTCTCTGTTTGTTTAAGATCGAAAGACTTCCTATAGTGCATTTATCTTTCACATGAGACTTACTGTAGGCTGTTGGTCCTACAGGTACATCCAGGCTGTGCGGAGGGAAGGGGATGTCTCCCAGTGCACATATCATTCCTACTACACTAGTCATTAGGCCTAAGACCAGAAAGGAATTATACTAAATGTCATTTCACATTGTATAAAATCCCTTCTTTTTCAGAATTGTTTGAGATCTTTAAAGACCGAGCCAAGGACACTTTAAAGCTGTTTAAGGAACCAGATGCTGAGAAAGGTTAGTTTAATTCTTATTTGTTTTTGTTATGTTTTAGTTTCTTTACATCCAATAGCTAGTGCATGACCTACTTACAGCAACTTTTTGATACTCAGTAAATCAAGTCTCAATATGAAGTTGTGAGGTGAACCCACTATATTCATTTCATCATTTGAACCGAGAACCTGGGATTTGGAAGGCTGGCAACTCACATACTTAATATCTGACCTTCAAGGTTCCAATGTGAACTGAATCACTGGCCTTATTTGACTTTTTCATTTCGTTGACTATGATTTCTCATTTTCATTCGACTGGTTCGTAAAATAGACTTTGTTGACAACAAAAATTAACGTAAACTAGAGTGTGTTAATCAGCGTCAAGTTATCCACATGACCAAAAAAACATGGCCGATTAGTCAGTTTAGAAACAAAATTTGCATTAATATAATTTACATTAAAGTTCAGAAAATAAAGTTTATTATATTCACCCACATGAAGTAAATATAAATTGTAGGTTAACAGAATTGGAAAAAACTGGATGAGAAATTTTTTAGAAGAAAAAAACCCATACTACCACAAGCCGAAGCAATCTTGATTATGCAGCGTGTATCGAAGTAACTAGGCAGCCATTTTTTTTGTCCACTATTAAGTTTTCTTTTGAATGGTCGTCTTCGATAAGTAGGATTTTACCACTGCGCAGGTGAGCGTGGTTAAATGAAGAATGAGCAGACAGTCGAATATGGCCACTGACTGAATATTCCAACCAACACTGACACTCAAACAATCAAACATTTGTTTATGAGTATTTGGCCGAGAATTAATGGTCCTGCTGCTTGTGCTGTAGATCCCGGTTCAAACCTGGCCAGTGTCAAGTTTAGAGTCAGATCGCTCTAGAACTTGAATAACCCTCGCATGAGATTTAGGCGGGATATAGGTACAATGTATCCGTTTATGTTGGTACTGGCACTGCACTGTGGCTGCTGAGCCAAAATTTCCAATCTCCAATACTTGCAATTGGACAAAAAAAGGAAAATTCAAATTTAAATTTGAATTTACTTAAACCATTTCTATTACTGTATGCAAATTATTTAAAGTTAGCTGCGCTATATAGTCAGATGTTAACATGATTACACATCCCAAGCCCAATCCATTACAATGTAAGATTATATTGCAAATAATCTTTATGTGACTAAGATGAGAATTTGCTTTAAAGAAACATCAAGATATATATTCTCACAGATCTCGACTAATCTTGATATATAGTATACTGTAAATAATAATATAGTTTGCTAAATTTGAGATGCATTTTCTTCTTAATGCATGTAATTTATAAAAAAGGTTAGGAGTTACAGCTTCTTCCTGTCAAAGCATATCATTGTCTTTGATGTCAATGCTGTGTGGATTGTTGGAATAAAGATTACTGCATTTGATATAAGTCCTCTTAATTGATGTGTTGTAAACAACCGTTGCGATTTATAGTAAGTCATTTCTTAGTTAGATTATGCTGCCAAATTGAATGAAATGTTTATAACGTGTTATGAAATCATGAGGGTATTACGAAGACATCATACGTCATAGGGGCCCGTGGGGGAAATTTTTTTACGTAGCTGATTGATCTGAGAGGGAAAGTTTGATAACATTTTATTGCGAATCTCAATCAATTTCTTCTTGACTTCAAATTCAAAGGGACTTTAAGTTGACGTTAAATATTACAGCATCATTATGACATCATGACAGTGCTTTGTAAACATTTTATTTAAATCACAACCTTTTACACTAGATACAGTATTTACAGAAAGGAGATCATTTGTTTATGGTCCATTTCCTATTTAGAAGCATTTGCTTACCGCCCCTCTGTCTGGTACCCTTTTTGCACCATTGTCCTTTGACCTGCATGGTTTTTATGTAACATCTATTAAATGTCTAAAGATGATTCCAACATAACTTTTTCACATTTGCTGTTGAGTATTTACAAAAAAATATTTAAACAATACAGTATTTTAAACTTTAAACACTGGGTATCCATTGTTCAAAGTTTAAAATTTGTAAATTATTAATATCCTGGATAGATAAATCTTCATCAAACGATACTGTATTTGTATAATCTATATCGCTGTCACTCGTTTCATCATATATTATATAAGGTCTCGCCAGGTCATATTATATAAGGTCTCGCCAGGTCATATTATATGGTCTCGCCAGGTCATATTATATAAGGTCTCGTCTGGTCATGCATAAGGTCTCATCTGGTCATATGTTATATAATTTTTGCATTTGCTCATATATTATATAAGGTCTAATATTAGAGTAAAAAATTAAGCCATATAGTATTTGTTCAACTTACATAATATATGTGTAATTAATTTATTATGTTATACTATATTATGTTTGTTATTTGTATCATATATTTTGATAGTTTATAATCATTTTTTATATAAAATATTTGTATAATAATAATAATAATTTATTAGGAACTACACTTTTCAATCAGTGGCACACTTCTCAATCAAGGTGCGTCCAAAACAAAATGTACAGTAAAGTTCACAAAAAAGACTTATGCTAAGAAAACGACAA